GAATCTCATAGGATTTCTTGACATAATTCCACATCAAACTACATTCACCAGCAGAGAGCATGGAAGTGGAGAATTTGTCTCTTAATGAGTTCTGTAGCTTAGAAATGGAATGTCATCTCTGTGTCGTCCCTCACAGGAGGAAGAAGTAATCAGGGGATTCAGCAATAGTCATCTCCATTATGCAACCCCACGCATTCACACAGCCTCTGATTGTTGGCTACTTTTTAATTTGTGCTTGTGTGTGCATCTGTATGACCTACCCTCTTCTGCAAACTCAGCTCAAAGACTTTGTAACTGCACCCTGTGAAACTGAGGGAAGTTTTGGACTTTTATTAAATATTAATTTAAAAAAAAAACTATTTAATCTTCTTTAAAATCTTTAAAAACAGATACTCAGCTGTCATTGTTTCATGTTTGAAGCTGTGCTGTTACAAAATAAAAGTGAGATAGCATTCTTCTCCTGTTCTAGTTTAAAGCAGCAGGAGCAGAATGCAGATCAAAAATGGATTTCTGTGATCTCCCTGAATACTGCAATGGAAGCTATGCCTACTGTCCAGACGATGTTTATATCATGAATGGTTACCCATGCAACAACATGAAAGCATATTGCTACTATGGAGTATGTCAGAGCTTTGATTCACAGTGTGAAGCCATATATGGAAAAGGTAAGTTTATACTTTAATGTAAAAAGACTTGTAGTCTTCTACAAGACATTTCATAGCTTGCTTTTTCTTTCTCATATTTTTAAGACAGCATGATGGCTTGCTAAGAATCTCTGTTTTTCATACAGGGGCAAGAAAAGCACCTGATCTGTGCTTTGAAAAAGCCAATATTAAAGGAGATAGATTTGGAAACTGTGGAATGACAGGTGGAGTGTACAAGAAGTGTTCTGTTCAGTAAGTCAGTACTAAACAAAAGCCAGATCTCCAGTGCACAATATACATTCTGTTATGAACTTGTAGAGCATGAAGTTTAAGACAAGAATATTTGTTTAAAATGCAACCTACATTTGGCTGGTGTATTTGCATTTATACTGGGTTTTTTTTTGTGTGGTTTTTTTTTGCTGTTCAACTTCTTTCCAAGTGCCATTTGTTCACTACAGGCACAGTCTGTGTGGCAAACTCCAGTGCACTTCTGTTAGCCTTCAAAATCTTCCTGCTTGGAGTGTTGTCAATAATGCATCCGGGGTTTTATGCTGGTCCTCTGATTTTGACTTAGGATCAGATATCCCTGATCCTGCTCAAGTTCATGATGGAACAGCATGTGGAGAAAAGAAGGTAAGACAAATGTCAGCATATATACACAATATATTCCACCAGCTGGAAAGCTCTTAACTTTCAAAAGCATTCAATTGTTTTCTTATTTATCTACAAAAAGTCATTAAAAATCTGCTTTTTCAGGTAGATACAATTAATTAGCTCTTAAAAAAAAAAAAAACTGTGATGCTACAAATCAGTGAGCAATCTTATCAGTTACTCAAATTATTTCCATCAAGCTGCATCCATAGATTTAAGGAAATCTGAGATAAATACAGCTATAGAGCTGTTAAGTACTCAGTGATCTATATGGCAAAGCAAAGGGCTGATAAGCAAAAGCTGTAGACTTGAAAATGTATATTATTATATAGTATATGTATAAAATGGGTAGGATCTGGGGGGAATGTTGTATTTAAAAGACACTAAATACTTTCCCAGGCCTGTGTAGCTTTTGAGTGTGTTGATGCAAGTCATCTGGGCTACAGCTGCGATGTAAAGCAGAAGTGCAATGACAATGGGGTGAGTAGATGGTGTTTTCATGCTCTACATCTTGAAGATAAAGATAGCTGCAAAATGCCTCTGTAAAAGCAATAGCCTGACAGATGGCTTTGCTTTATTCTGCTCTGTATTAAAAGTTAAATCCACGTTTTAATCCATAATTCATGTTAGCAGTATGCTGTAAACACCTTAGCACTAACATTGCAAGACACTTCTAAACATTTCTTCTAAATTTCCCTCGGGAATTTTCTAATATTTCTGAGTTGTCAAACTGTAAGAGGAGAGTATTCCTCTCAGGAGGACAGGCTGGTGATTCAGGATGCAGATATTTCTCTGTGAAAAATGAAAATGGAGTCTGACAGTTTCAGAACTCAGAAGTTCTTTCACTCAGTGTTCTGGAATGTTGTGGAAGCAGAGAGCTCATACTTCCTATACTTCTATGCAATACTCTGCAATATTTCTTGTTCCCACGTGCAGTTCTTAATGTGTAACTTAAGATATACATCAGAGGTTGAAAGTGGCTGCTTCCAAAAAGCCTTTATTTGACTAATCCCTTTTGCTGTAGGTGTGTAACAACAATGGGAACTGCCACTGCAATTCTGGATGGGCACCTCCATTCTGTAACCAGTCAGGCTACGGTGGCAGTATTGACAGTGGTCCAGCTCACATGGGTATGATTCTGAAACTGCTTTCTTACTGCTTCCAGTGTCCCATTTAATTAATCTATTCATACAGGGTGGTTTTCAGTCTCTTTTTTAAAGCTTTTTTTTTTATTTCTACTGCTCATTTGTGACTGTCTTGGAGAATGAACAGCATCTGATTTGTGATGTCTGCAGACCTACACAAGTTGGTCCAAGGGAAAAGCTGATCTTAGTTTTATCTGAGATAAAAAACAATACACTAATTACTTAGAATTACTTTTAGATTTTAAAACAATTAGATGTTCTTCAAATATTTAATTACTAATTATTTTAAATCTGATAAAACGTATAATATTGTAAGGCTGTAGCTTGAGAATGAAACCAGCAGCCTCTGCCTATGGAAAAGGTATCACTGCAATGAGAGGGATGAAGGAGGTTCATACTGCAACATCACTGTTCAGCTGAGAGCCATGAAATTATGCAAAGGGAAAAAGGAGTGAATTTTTCTGACCTTTACACTGAGAGACCATGGAAAGTGTTTTACATCTTCTGACTAAAAGGGAAATGTTGTATGTCATACAGCATGGGCTGAGTAAGGCAGGGACAATTTGTGATTATGGAAGTGCAAATCCTAATGACTAATTTTGCTTTATAACAATTCAAAGATGGCAATTCTTAGCTCAGAAAGGTATTTTTAACAGCAAAATGCTTTCATATGAGGTGAAACATGATGACTGTCTTACACGATTGCAACTATTTTTCTCCAGATACATCACTTCGGGATGGTCTGCTTATTTTTTTCTTCATTGTGCTGCCAATACTGGTTGTGATTGTAATAGCAGTAATTAAGCGTGATGCAATAAAGAGGAAGTTTTGCAGGAAAAGTAGAAGACAACACAGGTATTATACTGACTACAAATGCATATTTCAGTGGTTGTGAGGGTGCTCTAAATTAATTTAGCAATCTGGTTAGACGCTCTATGTAAAAAACACTACATAGCCCCCAAAAGAAAAAGACTGTCCTGCTATTGGCAAACGTGGGTACTTTCATACAGATGCTCTGATCGTCAATTCTCAAGCATTTCTTTTCTTAAAATGCACTGCACTTTTCCAGCTGGTACTTGTAATTGTGTTCATGGGCACAGGGGCATAGAGCATGGGTGGTGACACACTGGAACAGGTTGCCCAAGGAGGCTGTGGATGCCCCATCCCTGCAGGCATTCAACGCCAGGCTGGATGTGGCTCTGGGCAGCCTGGTCTGCTGGTTGGTGACCCTGCACATAGCAGGGGGTTGGAACTGGATGATCTTTGAGGTCCTTTGCAACCCAGGCCATCCTATGATGATGAACATGGAAATTATTTGCCACATCCATAAAGGGGTGAAGTCAGAAACATGAGATTTGTAACTGGGTCCCTTTGTAAGCATTCATCCCTTCTTGTTGTCAATCCAAATGGGGATTTTCCTGATGGTGGTGTTTTGCTTTCAGGGATAACAATGCACAGCAACCAAAGCAAAGCAACAGACCAACCCATACCGCAAGAAATGATCAGGTAAGACAGATGCATAGCTGCATTATTTCATGCTGAGTAATCCCAGTTCTACAGTACCTTTGTCTAAAGCACTTACTGATTACGTTGTGCTTTTATTGATACACGAAAGCCATCAGAATTTCCAATTATTTAACAGAGGGTGTTGGACAGGACAAAACACCATGTCTGAAAGTTGCATACCATTAGCTCTGTTGAGAATAATGAGTTACGATTTGTGTTCTGTGTTAACCTGATTATCTGTGCCATCTCTCCTAGCCCGCCACAGCAAGCCCTGATTTTTTCACCATATCACATTTTCCCGGTCCGAGGTTTGTATAACTTCAACGTTTGCTACAGCTGGCCAAATACCCGCTTAGAAGTACGGCTTGTCTCGGGTGCTGAAGCACTTCTCAAAGCTGTTATCCCCCCTCCAGGCAGGCAGGACAAACGCAGTTTCCTGCGGTTCCTTCAGGACCTCATCGACCCGCTGTCCCATCACCCAGACCCGCTGTGTGAGGAGCTCCTTGGGCCGCCAGGAACTGATAAGGAAAAGCACGAGGGCTGGCATCGTGCAGCCCTCCATGTGTGCATCCTTCCAGCAGCACGTACCGCTGGGAAAGACTCGGTGCCGAGAGCCCCTGAGCACAGCCTTTGTATCATTGCCTTATTGTATTACTGCCTAAGAGCTGCTGGCTGCGTCTGTGCCTCTTCTACCTCATCCCTTCTTTTTGTTTTTATTTCTTTCACGGAAAGCCTGAAGTCCAGCTGTGGCTGCTTGAAAGCTGTGGCAGAACGGGGCTTCTCAGCGCAGCCTCAGCTGCAGGGGAGGAGAAGCGGATGGGATCATTTAACAGCCGCCGCGTCCCGTGCTGTGCGGGCAGCCCGCAGCTTCGTGCTCCTTCGTGCCCTCCTGCAGGCAGAAACCCGCGGGGCAAAGCGCGTCCTGCAAGCAGCGAGCCTCCCTCGGGAGTCCTCCGATGGCAGAATCACACTAATGCAATGACTTAACGTAGATCACCTGCACGATCTTGGTTTCACGGCCGCGGAATACAGCCCGCTGCCGTCGGGCGCCCAGCAGCAGCCGCGCCGTTCGTCACCCCGCATTTATTTCCCGAATCGGGGCCGCCGCTCCGCCAGGGGGCGCTCTCGCCGTGCGCCCGCTCTCCCACTGCGGCTGCGCAGGGCCGCCCCCTCGGGGAAGCGGCGTCTGAGCGCAGTACGGCGGAGATGGAGCTGGCGGACGGCGGGCGCGTGGTGCTGTGCGTGCTGTGCGGGCTGCCGGCCGCCGGCAAGTCTACGCTGGCCCGCGCTCTGCGCCGCCAGCTGCCGCTCCGCCAGGGCTGGGACTGCGCGCTGCTCGTCTACGACGACCTCATCCCGGAGGAGGCCTGGGGGCGGGGCGAGCCTCCGCACGGGGAGCCCCCATTGGTCAGTGCCGTTCTCCTTCCCGCCTTCCCATTGGCCGCGTCGCTCGGCCGCCGTTGCCGGGCGACGAGGCGCAAACCCCGCCCCTCGCTCCGTCCCGCAGGACTCCGCCTGGAAGCGGCGGCGGCGGGAATTGCTGCGGCTCCTGGAGCGCTTCCTGCGGGCGCTGCGCTCCGGCCCCGCCCCGCCCGGCCCCGCCCCGCCCGGCTGGAGCCGCTTCCTGAGCTGCTGCGCCGAGCAGGGGCTGCGCCCGGGGCGGGACGGCGGCGGTCCCCGCGTCCGCCCGCTGTGCATCGTCCTGGATGACAACTTCTACTACCGCAGCATGCGATACGAGGTGTTCCAGCTGGCTCGCGAGTGTAATTCGTGCTCCGCTCCTCCTGCCGGGCGTGGGTTGAGCGGGGCGTCCTGCTTTGTGTCGGCCCGTGGCATCGGGGGGGTGGCAGGAGGGTTGGACCTTCCCAGCGGGGCAGCCTTTGCCGCCCATCTACGCGTGTACCGGTGCAGCATACAGGCTTTAGTTGGTGGCTACATTGAAAAAACAGTGTTTTGTAGCCGAGAGTTTGCTCTGTCAAACGGTGTTGTCGTGCCCTTTGTACCTGTTGTAGTTCCCGTGAAAATAAACGGAAGGCAGTACTTTTGGAGCGAGCAGCGTAGGAGCTGCTGGGTCTCAGAACTGGGCTCCTTCCGTCCAGAGGATCAGCATTCGTGCACGGCCTCATCCAGACAACTGTCCATTGCATCCCTGCAGATTCCCTGGGCTTCTGCCAGCTCTTCCTGGAATGCCCCCTGGAGCTGTGCCTGCAGAGGAACCGCCTGCGGGGCAGCCCGGTGCCCGAGGGGACCATCTGCCGTATGGCACAGAGAGTGGAGCTGCCAGAGCCTGAGAAAAACCCCTGGGAGCAGAACAGCCTCATCCTGAGCTGCTCTGCGTGCACCCCAGAGGAGCAGTGTGATGCCGGGCTGATGGAGGCTTTCCAGTGAGTTCTGTTTGCACGTAAGGGCGGTTGAAGCTTGTCGTCGTTTCATGTCATTAAGTTCTTATAATATTATGAGAGGGGTGAGGTGCTGGAACAGCCACCTGTGGTTACCTCATCTCCGAAGGTGTTCAAGGCCAGGTTGGATGGGGCCCTGGGCAGCCTGGTCTGGTATTAAATGTGGAGGTTGGTGGCCCTGCATGTGGTGGAGGGTTGGAGCTTGATGATCTTTGAGGTCCTTTCCAATCCAAGCCATTCTATGATCTGACTTGCTGTATAATTATTATCTCACTGACTACCTCATAAATTTAACTGGAAATGGGGGTTTTCTGTCATGAGCTGTCATGATAAAATGAAAGATAACTTTCTGTTGAGGTTGTTGGATTAATGCATTTCTCTATTCTTTGTTTCCTTAGTGTGCAGATAATTAACTTGCTGGGTGCTGCGTTGGAAAATCCCGTGAAGCAAAACAGGGAAAACACTGAGCAGAAGGTAGAGTGCTGTGTTTTAAAATCCATAGCTCTTTCAGATGATAGGGAATTATTTTCTTCTAGAATTGTACTCACAACACCACAGTGACAAAAATTCAGAGTTCTGTTGCGGTTCTGGGTTGCAAAAGCATGCACACAAAGGCTGATCCTATTTGAAACGGGTACTTTTGTCACCTTATTAAGTGAAGCCAACAAACGACCTTTTAACATCCTGTTGTGCAATTAGCAGCAGTAGAAAGAATGCCTTTTGGAGCTGACCCATCACACTGAGGGAAATAATGCTCACTTTTTCATGTTGTGTGTACATGTCTGACAGTCACCCTCTGCCTCGGAAGAAAAGGAGTAGATGTGCACTGTGCTGGGCACTGAGGTGGTGCTCACGTTTCTCCCTGTTGGAGAATGAGTACTTCAAAGGCTGATCATAATGTGAAGGAATTTTCATTTGTTTGCATGTTTCTCCCTGTCTGTTGATCTTTTTGATAGGAAGCGGATCGAGCGATCTGTGCAGCCAGCACTGTCCATCAAGCTGATCAGACATGCAGACGAATCATCTCTCAAACCATGAAGGAGGCAAAAGGTACGTGAGGCACAGCTGAGGTGAAGCACAGCCAAGGTGTTAAGCTTGCTGGCACCTTAAAGTTAACCTGTGGAATTACCTCGGGATTAATTGGAATCCCAACCTGCAGCTGTGACCACGGCAATATCCTTCAGAAGCCTTGCCAGAATTATTGGACAACATGAGCCAAAGTTTGTAAATGCTAGCTTCTAAAATGAGCATAAAATGACAACTTGAATTTTCTTTAAGATAAGAACGTGCTCCCAAGTGAGCTGAAAAGCCTGGCAGAAGAACTCAACAAACTCAAAGCAGAATTTTTGGAAGATCTGCGGCAAGGAAGTCATGTGGAAAATGAATCTGGCCAACAAAATCCTACCACTGACCCTGCTACCAGTGTGCTTTCTTCATTCCAACTTGAGGCAACCAATGTAATTAATAAATACATTTTAAAGTAATAATATAGAGAATGTTGGATTGCTCTGAAGAGTAAAGAGCATTAAAAATGTAACACTGTTTTAGCAGTGCTGCTGAAAATATCTGAGAGTGACAGCTTCCTTCTCTGGAGGGCTCAATCACCTCTAACTCCTGCTCCTGGTTTATGGAACAGGGATGCTGTATAGCACAGCAGCCTGGGAGGAATGCCTGGAAGTCATCAAGTTCCACTTCCCTCTTGCTGTGGGACCAACATCAGGCTGGCCTGGCTTTCCCAGAACCTTATCCAGCTGAGGTTTTGAAGAGCACCTTGAATGGCAGCCTGCTCAGCTCTGCTCCCAACAGGTAGCTGAGCATTTCCACAGCTCTTTTGTGCCTGACAAGATGTAAGAGCAATAAGTGAGATGGCATATAGCGCGTTAAGTGGTACGTTGACAACAAATGAACTGCAGCATCCAAAGCTAGGATATAGAGACAGTTATGCTCCATTCAAGTACTGCCTCATTTTCCCAAGTCCAATTTTTAGATCAGGCTATTGGCCTCCCTACAGCAACTCTGTAAAGGAAAAGATTTGAAACACCTTAAACTGAGATTCAGAGCTGCAGACACACATGGATGCAGGTAGGAATAACTTGGATGTCCAAAGGAGCTGAAAGGTTGGTGCTGCCTTCAAAGCTGCTACAAGATACTCATTTAGCTTCCGTGCATAGGGACATCCAGCTTAGGGTGATGAAAAGTTTGATCTCACCTTCCATACCTTGCTTAAAACACACCTAGGCATGAGCAGTTCACCAGCTGATCCACGTGCAATTGAAAGATGAATCACTGTAAGGCTTAATTAGAAAGTATTATTTTATTCTTACCTTACAAAAGCAAAGCTCCACAACATGAACTACACTAGATATAGTCGAGTTATTTCAGAATTAACCCTGTCTTCTGAGAACATCCACTACACAGTAAAATTTAGTTTACAGTTCTAATGGATTTCATTTTTGCATACAAAATATGCTCTTTACATTGAAATACGTATTATTAACAAAGCAGGTACTTAGAAGCACATACACAAAGATTGCTCAATGAAAAATGCTTCAGCAGGGTATATATTTTCCTGCACCAAAACATCCATTTGCTGTAGATTTTCAAAGAAGCTGAAAATTAATAGAAAACTTGCCAGTGAAAACTTCTAAATTACATTCCCATCGTCCAAAGAAACAAAAAGCAAACAAGCAAACCTCCAAAACATCCTGGAACAGAAATACAACAGATCATTTTGCTAGGAAACAATGGCACGCATCTTTATGTTAAAATGCCAATTAAAGTTTGATGTCAAAATTAACTTTATCTAAACACTGTATCTGTGACAAACCAACTATTACTACTCTCTGTTAGCTGTTTTACAGTTGGCTTAAGTGTTAACTGAGATGATCTACCAAGATCTTCACGCTCGCTGGAAAACCTCTCAAAGTACTGAGTCTGTATGAAGAGTGCTAATAAATAATGCATGTTCAAATTATCAACAAATCTGTAAAATAATCTATCACAATACAAATAAACAAAAGAAAACCATTAACTTAATGTTTTGCAACTACAGAAGTTACCGGAGTCAAGGTATGGGGAAAAAAATAGATCAGCTCATTCCCAAACTTCCCTGTGAATACGAGGTAAGATGCTCATTACCAACTTGCAATACAAAGGTTTGTTTTCATAAAGAAAAGCCAGTGCAGTGCAGCACATGGAGAAGCCAATGTGGAAAGGCCCACTAACCAAGGTCTTGATCCCATGGTTCCTTAAGGGAATCCCTCGCTGACTGAATGAGTAAGGCCTGCTCGTGCATGGCAATTGTCAGGATCATCATCCATTTTCCAGTATTAGTTCTGTTCTTTAAATTATAGTAAACAATATGTACAACAAAACCAACAGGAAAACACACCTTCCAAATCTACTCAGTAGTCAGAAGGAGCTAGTTATAGTCAGGGAACTGTTTGGCACAACAGAACACAGTATTACATAGGGCCCCTTTCAGTAAGGTCACGCAGGCTCCCTCTTGCTACCAGCTACTTCTCATAGTGACTTTACTGCTCTACCTAAAATTACATGCAGGGGAATTATGGTTCAGAAGTCATTGCATTAGACAGGAAGACCGTGCTGCTTATAGGCACTGCTGAAGAAAGTCAGAATGGATTAAAAACATAAAGAACAAAACCCAATCACAGCAATCCCTCTGGTATCAAAGACTGGAGCCACAAACGAAATTCAGCTGCTGTAACCTACGTAACTCACAGCTGGAGGGTATTCCTTACAGCAGTGCCATCTGGGAAGTCTCCTTGCAGCAGCCAGAGCCTAGAAAATTAAAGTCTGCACCACGTATCAAAAGGTAAGAAAAAGGACCTTTGTAATTGTAATGGTCTTTAATATTTGTGCTTCTAATACTGTATAATTTAACCACCTCTGTGTGTCACCTTGGTACTGTTCTTTGACTGGAAAGGCCGTGTCACACATCCTGTACAGGAGCAATACCTTCCATGTAGATTTCAGTTCAGTCAACTTCACCATAACCTTTAAAATACAAAAGGACACACAGGAGGGTGGTTCCTGGTCCTCTGCATTCAGTTCATGCAAAGAGCTGCTGTTTTGCTTCTGAAATTTTCAATTGTAAAGTGAGAAAGGGATATCAGAGGATTATAATGAGTGCCATAAGAAAAATAGAAATCATATTCTCAGTTATACCAACTCACTAAAATGCATTTGAAACCAAGCCTGAAACGAAAACAGTAGATGAATTAGGTAAGTGTATTAAATTCCTAAATTTCTAATTCATTCAAGTGAAAATCATCTCTAGTGCCAAAATTTTCAGGTTCTTTTTCCCTGCATATTCTTCTTAAACATAAGTCCTTGTAAGCTTTAGCTCCCATGGCAATACAGATCTGAATAACCAAACACTCGCTATTCAGATTGCAGACACTGATTTCCAGAACAGGAACAAAATCTTCCTACTTTTGACAAAATATTTTCTGCCATATTTCGCTGATAGGAAAGGGGGAGTACATATAAAGGAAGCTTTAATTTATCTCCAGTAAGACAAACTAAGGTAAAAGTGCATGTCTAAGTACGGTAAGAGTAATGGTTCTTCAATTTTTGAAGCATTACAAATTCCTGTGTAACATATCAAGAGCTTTTATTAGTTCTATTAGGATGTTTCATATAAATTCCTATTAAAGTGCCTGTCCATTAGTCTAGGTGCTTCTAAAGTAACATGTAAAGGATTAAATAAACATGTGCAATGGACTTCATGTACATCTTTGTGTACGTATGCTATTAATCACAATGAATTAAATGTAGCCAGCCAGTGCTTCTTTGCCTGCCTGCTACATGAATACTTAAAAAAAACCCAACAAAACAAACCCAACCCCACCACAAACACACCCTCAGCTCTTCTCCGTGCTTCCAGCACAACAAATGTTGGGGATGGATGCCAGACAAACTGACTTCCAAGTTAGCCAAAGCTTACAATACATGTGATTACACAGCTTTCAAACAGAAAGGCAACCTACCAGCTGTCGCTTGGCCCAAGATAAAACTGAGTATTAGATAGTTTTAGCTCATAAACCTCTTGTTTCTATTAGAACTTCCATCAGCCAGACAGAAGTCTAGTTGTGCAAATTTTAAAGATGCGTACAAATTGATTTAAGGCAGTTAACACTGGTCTGTGCTAGTACTACAAGAATTGCCTCCTTTTAACATGGATACAATTTTGCTAGGTGTACTTTGCAGTTTCAAATAAGGTGTCAAGTTTATTCCTTCTTTTTACAAGCAGTGAATGATTGGCTCTTAACTTTATTTCCCTACCAGAGTTTCACTCACAATAACCTTTTATCTTCTAGCTTCATGGTGAATTTTAACAATAATAGTTAAATTAGTGTTTTGAGTTTGGGTCATATTAAGCAAAAACATATTAATCTCATCAGATTAAAGTGAGCTTTAAAATCAAATTCAATTTGTATGTGAAAGTTGCTTCTGTTTGTGTTTTGACAGTAGCTATGTTTTTAAGGATAAGTCTCCAAAGCAACCACATCTGTCTCTGCAGTAACCTTTCACAGTTTATGCTTAACATATTTTATCCTATCTAACAAATCTGATGATTGTATTCTACATGTCAGCACTCTGTTTCTACATCTGTAATGTTCATGGGGATTTTAAGAGCAGGCAACTGAAATTTTGCAAGCAAAACATCTTACTAAATTCCAATTTTTATAATACTTTCAGTGGGTTGATTTCTCTTTTTTTTTTTCCTCCTTTTAAAGGCTACATATAAAACAACCACCACATCTTATACAAAATTTCCCTGGCAAGTTTCATGACAACATAGAAATAAATTTGCCTCCTTTGTCCTATAGTTTAACGCAAATTTTCCTTATGGGAATGTGCAAGCTTTCCTTCAGGAAGTATGAAAAATATATTGCAATATGTTAAAAAACTAAATGAAAGCATGTTCTCAGTGTTGGCTATGTTGACCTCTCGCAAAATGGCAAGCAAAGTCATACTTGTTTTTACACTTGCACCCACATATGTTGCACTGAAAAGGATTCTCAAACCCATGACATCCCATGTGAATGGTATAAAGGATATTGTCCGCAAAATACATGTCACAGTGCTGGCAGTGATGCAGAAGCTGGGGGTCCTGAACAGGAAGGGTGGGAGCTGGAGTGCTTGGCTGACTGTTACTTATGCTGGGAGTACTGGTGTGGGCGCTGCGGTCACTGCTTGGCCCCGCCACCGGGCTGTAGTTCCTTTGGTTGTGTGCAGGCCGAGGATCCGGGCTGGTTGGTGATGAACTCTGAGCAATACTTGCTGACACAGAGGAAACTACAGCGGGTGTAGCAGGCTGCTGCATCATGAAAGGCTTTTCATCTTGGCAGGTAACAACATCAGGAGAGCATCCTCTCTCGTTCTGGTTTTCAGGTGGCAGGCTAGATAACTGTCCAGCTAATGTAGATAGCTGGTTTAAAGGATTATCGACCATAAGGTCCTGTGGGTCTCTTGGCAACCCACTGGTCTGGGATGACTTAGTCATGCTCTCATAAGCTTCAGTCTGGATATTTGGGATTTCATGAGTGAAATCATTCAGGTAGTCTGGTTTGTGAACCACCATAGAAGGTGGACTCAAATTAATTAACGCTCTTCTGCTGTACCCCAAGTTGCTGGTCTTCTTCTGCAGAACCCCCCACATTTTCTTGCTACTCAGGGAAGACCTCGTACCCTTGATAGGCACCATTTTATGTTTACGCCTCCGGTGGTGAGATAAGTTGCTTCTGTCACTGCAGCGGAAGGAACACAATTCACATTTGTATGGTTTTTCACCAGTATGTGATCGCATGTGAGCTTCCAGATGACGTTCGTAAGCGGATGCAAAGGGACACAAATGGCATCTGTGTGGCTTCTCACCTGGAAAATTAAAAAAGATACTGTGGCATCTCACAGAAGAAGTCTTTTCATGGAAATAGCTAACTGTGTGCTGCTCACCAAATGGCTTAAATTCAGCTTCAGAGTTGTTGCCGGCCTTGAGATTAGCTGGATATTTGGTGGAATAGCGCAGTAAAGTTAGACATGTCTGCCTCTCCTAAGTGAGTGAGCATCAGAAAAAACGTGAGCATAACTAGCAGAGCCAATAGCCTAAGAATTGCAGCAATGATGCCAAGAACCAAATACAGTGATGTCTGTATGGTGCTCTCATTAGATCCAAAATCTACCTCCTCTCTAAAGCATGCAATCAGTTGGCTACAGTAATGTCTCACTGCTCTTTTAACGTCAAGGAAGGGCATTCTTTTGACATCTTCCACACATTTCTCACTTTTAAACTTCTTGGAATTATTATCCAAGTAACCCATGTACACATACATGTACTCAAGAATTGAATTTTCCTGTGGCTAAAAAGTTACTGAAGAAAACTAAAGCCAGCTAACCACCAGACAACTGCTCTCTCAGTCAGGTACTGTCCTTTCTGACAGCTTGAACTTCAGTCTTCCACTAGATAACACTTCCCACTAATGCTTCTGTAATTGTGTTTTCAAACACAATTCTTTGAAAGCTTTCAAACAATTCCATACATTACCTTTGTAACATCATACTTTGGGTTCTCAATCCTCCTTTCACAGATTCTGAGCTTTCAGCTCGGAAAGCAAATGGTATCCTGGGCTCCATCAGAAGAGGGGCCAGCAGGGACAGGGAGGTGACTGTCCCCCTCTACTCTGCTCTTGTGAGGCCCCATCTGCAGTATTGTGTCCAGGTCTGGAGCCCCCAGCACAAGAAAGACAGGGAGCTGTTAGAGGGGATCCAGAGGAGAGCCAGAAAGATGATCAGGGGACTGGAGCACCTCCCCTATGAAGACAGGCTGAGGGAGCTGGGCTTGTTCAGCCTGGAGGAAAGAAAGCTGCGGGGTGACCTCATTGCAGCCTTTCATACCTAAAGGGAGCCTACAAACAGGAGGGGAATCAACTCTTTGAAATGGTTGATAACACCAGGACAAGGAGAAATGGTTTTAAGTTGAAAGAGGGAAGATTTAGGTTGGATGTTGGGGGGAAGTTCTTTACAGAGAGAGTGGTGAGGTGCTGGAACAGCTGCCCAGAGAGGCTGTGGATGCCCCATCCCTGGAGGTGTTCAAGACCAGATTGGGCAGCTTGGTCTGGTATTAAATGTGGAGATTGGTGGCCCTGCATGTGGCAGGCGGGTTGGAGATACATGATCCTTGAGGTCCCTTCCAATCCTGGAAGGGTGATTCTGGTGATTCTGTGATTGATATCTTATGTGTTTTTAGATTCCATGTGTGGATGGTTAGAAATGCCTTTGCTGTGATTTGATGCATGTCCAGGTGTTGACATGCCACATCATCTTACCTTCCTACCTAGAACAATACGCCAATTTCTAAACTGCTTTTGAGCAACTTCTCTTTGCAAACTGCAAAACAGAAGAGCGTGATCCTTCTCTTCAGCCTTTAAGTTCTTTTGAAGTATTTTCTATCGTTGTGAAAACAGGCCAACAGAACTGCTTTGTGGCTTTCAAAATCCATTATCTACAACAACAAAAGCCAGATGTCTGAATAGTGAGGGCCACTAATAATGTGCAAGCACTGCACAGGACACACAAGTTGTCACGTGACTAATAGTCACAGAGCCCTTCCCATGACAAAGTTAATGCAGTTCTTATTTCACTTTAAATTGGTGACACAGAAAAAGATCTGTGTGCCATGTTGCAAACCCTTAAACATAGCACAGCCAGTAAACCACTAACAGCACTGCTATTAAGACCCAGCATGAATTTAATTCAGAGTAAATTGCACTTAATAACAGTCATATGGTCATGCCTGTGCTATAATTGCTTTGGTAGATAGCTTGCTGGACTTGCACATTATCCAGGACGCATCTGTTTACTTACATCTCTCTGAGCTACAGGTCAGCTCCCAGTTCCCTATTGTAATGCTGGTTCACTCTGAGCTTTCCTAGTCCATGCAATCCATGTCTTAGCCCTTTGCCACGCTTCCTCTCCATGCTTCTGAGCAAAATAAAACAGAGGCCTTGGATCAACTTGCCTTTAAGTAGGACAGTTTCCTTGATCAAACAAGTAATGCATTTACTCTCCAATTTTGGCAACATTTGCAACTGCACTGAGAAGTCACCCATCACATAATGCTCTGCTCTTCCAGCATTTCCCAAAACTTGAAGACAGAGCAAAGATTTTGTTTGAAACAAAGAAAGCATACGAAGAACTGATGGTTTTATGTGTTGTGGGCAACTTACCATCCTGAAGTTCAGGTCTGGGATGATGCTGACAATATTACATGCTACAGCCATGAGAAACAAGTCTGAATGTTAGCCAAGGCACAAACCCTAAGCGTCATGCTTCTCCCCAGAGAGGACCTTCCCGTTAGCAGATGGTACATAGTCCAAAGGCGGCTTGGTTTTGAATAATTAACACTGGGTCAGAAATTTTGATGACATTTCTCAGCACTTCAACTTTCAAATGGAATTCATCTTGTTTTTGTATACTACACTGTACTGAAAAGGTCATAATCTATAGCAGATATTGTTTTGCTAGCTCAAGCCACCAAATGACTTCTGTTCCATAAAGCAGCAGCAGGCTAAGGCATTTGGAGGACACAAAAGAGCTGTTAAGATCTAAGAGTACAGAAGAACGTAGACAACTTTCTATAGTAAGGGAAGGAATACTGACGTTGTACCGTTACCCACATTCTCACACTTGAAGAAGTAAAGCTTCATTTTTGCTTTTTGGTACAAGAAAGATTTATGACATTTGATATTAAGTAACAATACATTGTTCCAGCCATTCTCTTGGAGGCTCCCCATGCACACAAAGCCAGAGACATCTCAGGAATCAGCAAACACACAATACCAACAACAACAACAAAAAAAGTTTTATCTGCTGAGTAACTCAAAGAAATATCACACTGCTTGAAGATGACAGCTGCTCATATGCAAAACATAACACTGAGTTAACACCGTAGTGCCTCACTGTGAAGTACTGTAGAATATTTCATACCTGTATGAATTCTGATATGCTCTATCAGCCTTGCTGTTCCTTTGCTGGCATAGTTGCAGTAGCGACACTTCAATTTTCCATCAAACGTCCTTTCAAATCCATCCACTAACATTCCTGAGTTTTCATCCAGTGAAACTTCAACAGAAGGATGATCCAGCCCATTCTGATCACCTTCAGTCCCAGCTGTGAATAATGCAACAGACGTTTCAATAGACAATTTCTGCGATAACAGCTGTTGTGCTGTGAGATATGCCAAATCTCTCTGCTTCCATATGCCCTTGCTCATCAAACACACAGAACTATCAGAACAAACCCTAATAAAGATAAGGGTACACATACATCCACTGTGATGTAAAACCTACTACTAGAAGTGCTTCCACATAACAGCAGCAGTGTGCATAATTATCCAGAATGTAGACTGTACAGTCATTTCCCAAAATCCAAAATGTTGATAGGACTGAAGTTGGCTTACCTCCCTGAAGAGTCTCTGCTTCCTTGTCTCCACTAACAGATCCAGAAATCATATTCACATGGTGAGTCTGCTGTGTAAGGTATTCCTGAAAATCTTTTACAAAGTCCAAAGGTTCTGGCTTCTTTTCACCCATATTCCCTCTTTAAGTTTACAACTTCTTGTGCCTAGAAAGAAAAATATGTTCAAATCACAAGTTCCACTGCATTTAAAAGCATTCATAAAACCAAGCTTTTTATAGTGAGGGACTATTTTTATCATGTATCATGTCTAAATACATGAACTGACAACCATAATTTCAGGATATTAATAATCAAGATAATTAAGTATTAGTATGAAAATCACCTGCGGAAACAGGAATATAAGGACTACATAAGAGCAGGTGAAATGACATAATCAAAATCATCAAGAGACTGCAGTTCCCAGCTCGGCA